CCTCCTGGCAGAAAGAACAGGGCAGCTCAGAAAGCCCCCGCTGCTGACACCTCCTGCGGTTTAGGGAGGGGATCTACGAAGGCCTGTCTGGCTCATAAAGCTTTCCTGGGTGTGAGTATGGGTGTGCATGGGTTCTGGTGGATCGGGACCATCTTAGATACGACAAAAGACTTGCTGGTTGGGTCTCTATTCCCTTCAACACTGAAGTCATTGTGTAATAACAAGAAGAAAACCAGATGTAGGGTTCAAATCCACTATTTAGCCATTTCCTAGCCACGAGACCTCAGCCATGACACGTTCTAACTACTTTGGGCCTCAGTTTCCTTATCTGTAAAATGAAGGTTTGGACTAGAGCAGAGCATCACGAATCTAGAAGAGCCCTCAAAGGCCATCTGGCCCAACCCCCTTACTTCACAGATGGGGAAACCAAGGACCGAGGGCATAGGGTAGTACATAGCAGACGTGGGATTTGAACCCAAGTTGTCTGATTCCAGAGTCAGGGCTCTGTTCACTATAGCATGTTGCTTCCCTAAATTGTCGCCGATGTCCTTTCTGGCTCATGAGCCTATAAAGTTAAGCATTTAGAACCCTTCCCACATCCAGTCTGCCCCCAGCCCCAGAAATCAGCATGCTCTACCCCTGACTCTAGTGCACACTTTGTCTTTGATTCTCACTTCCCTCCCTGCTGGCCCCTTCCAGGAGAATAGAAGATCTTAGAAGGCAGGGAGGGTTTCTTTCCTCTTTGTCTCTCCAGGCCCTAATACTGAGCCTTGCACACAGCCAGCACTTAGTGAGTGTTTGGGGAATTGGACTGCAGCCTTTGGGGCACAGCTGCACCAGCCCTGACTATGCAGAGACCTGGCCTGGGGGGCTGACTGTGCAGCTTCCTGGCCACATTACTGGGCAAGTGACCTCCTCTGGAAACTGGGGACGCTGGATTGGGTGACCTCCAAGTGCCCTCTCGCTCTGAATCTAGGATCCTGTGCCATGGAGTTGGTGCATGGCTGTGACACGACCAGACACAGCTGTGACATGCTGTGACACAACCAGGTACATGGCTGTGACATGACCAGGTACATGGCTCTCACGTGACCAGTTACGTGGCTGTGACATGAAGAGGCACACAGCTGTGACATGACCAAGTACATGGCTCTGACGTGACCAGTTACACAGCTGGGATACAGCCATCTTCCAAGATCCTGTACGATATGCTGGAAAGAGCAGAGTCACCAGTTAGAAGAACTGAATATGAATCTCTCATCCAGCCATGAATTCATTTTGTGACCTTGGTCAAGATTTAAGCACTCTTTCAAAGTGAAAGCTTTGGACAAACTGACCAATAGGAATTAACATTTATATAGCACTTCAGAGTTTGCAAATATTATCTCATTTGGTTTTCACAACTTTGGGAGACAGGTGCCATCAATATCCCTGTCCTTCCTGTTGGATGAGAAGAGGGGTGGAACTCAGGTTTCCTTTGTATTCCTACATATTTTATTTTACGCACTTAAAAGCAAAATTCTCAGGGGTTCATAGGCTTCACCAGACCAACAAAGACAGGGCACAACACACAAAAAGGCCAAACACTCCAGAGATGTTCTCTTTCAGTTCTAGATCTTCTGATTCTACCCTAATGGCACGTAGTCCTTATCATATGCCCCTCCTCTAAGGGCGCCCCCCTCCCCCCTGGCGCTAGTGACTTGGCAATAACAGTGGTTCCCCTTCTCTTTGCTGGGGCTGGCCAATTAGGTGGGCCAGTGAGTAGGATACAGGACTTGGGAGTCATGGAGTGCTGAGTTCAAATTCTATTTCGGGCACTTCCTGGCTGTGTGACCTTAGGCAAATCAATTAACCTCTCTCAATCCCAGTTTCCAAGTCTGTATAATGGGGATATTAGTAGCACCTTCCTCACAAGGTTATTATGAGAATTAAAATAATTAGCATATGTAAAGCGCTATGTAAACCTTAAAGTGCTATATAAATGGTAGTTATTATTATTTTTCTTGGGACATCTACTCACCGGATCTCTCTTCCTGCCCTGCCAGACCTAGCTCTCTTTTTTCCCTCTACTTCCCTAGATTTACCCATGGAGAGCACAGGATATCAGATCTGACTAGGACCCAAGAACATCAACTGTGGGAATTGGAAGTGACTGCAGAACATAACATTAGAGCACAGGATGTCAGAGCTGGGAGGGCCCTTGGAACACAGGATGTCAGAGCTAGGAGGGCCCTTAGAACACAGGATGGCAGAACTGGGAGGACCCTTAGAACACATGATGTCAGATCTGGGAGGGCCCTTAGAACACTGAATGTCAGAGCTAGAAGCAACATTAGAATACTGAGTACCAGGGCTAGACTAAGGTAGCTTTGACGTCATCTAGTTCAACTTTCTCATTTCACAAAAGGGACTTGACATATTCATGGTCATAGAAGGAATAGTGTTGGATTCTAACACTAGAACCTAGATTAGGAAAGAAGGAAGAAGGGAGGGAGGGAGGGAGAAAGGAAAGAAACAAGCTTTATTAAGTATCTACTATGTGCTAGGCACTGTGCTAAATGCCTTACAATATCACATCTTTCATCCTCACAACAAACCTGGAGGTAGGTGCTATTTAACCCCATTTTACAGACAGGTTAAGTACTTGCCCAGAGTCACATAGTTAAATGTCTGAAGTTGGATTTGAACTCCACTTCCTGAGTCCAGGCAATCTCTTAATTTTTCTCCCCTAATCTCAGAAAGGCCAAGTGGCCCAATGGAAATGCCCCTAGAGCTGTAGTCTTGACTCTACAAACTGTATGACTTTGGGTGAGTCAGTTAACCTTTGTAAATCTCAATTTCTTGACCTGTTTATTAGAGATAAGAGTAATCCTTCTGATGGCTCTGCTCTGACTGCCTTCCCCATCCTTCCCAGGGTGGAAGAAGGTTTGCACTGTCTCCGCCTCATCATCGTCATCATCACCATGTGTGAGGTTGTGACTAAGTGTGAAAGAAGGCACAAGGTCCAGACAGATGGGAATGGGGAATTGGGGGGGAGGGGAGACACCAAAGAGAGGCCTCATCTGTAGCTATGGGAAGCTGGTATGTTTTTAACTTGACAAAATATGGTCAGTTCTTTTATCTGAGCTCTAGTATTGACTCTTCTACTAACTTCCTGTGGGTGACCTTAGGCAAGTCACAGTATTTCAGAGCCTCAGTTTCCCCAAGTAGAGGACCAACAGGACTAAGGATCCTCTAACTCTAAAGCATTTGATCTATAAATCTATTCTAGCTCAGAAGTTTGGAGATCCTTTCTAGCTTTAATATTCAATGTTCTAAAGCACCTTCCAGCTTTAACTTTCTGTGTTCCAAGGCTCCTCTCAATTCTGACATTCTTTGTTCTAAGGCCCCTCCCAGGTCTGACATCCTGTGTTCTAAGGCCCCTCCCAGCTCTGACATCCTGTGTTCTAAGGGCCCTCCCAGCTCTGACATCCTGTGTTCTAAGGGCCCTCCCAGCTCTGACATTCTCTGTTCTAAGGGCCTTCCCAACTCTGACATTCTAATATTCTAAGACCTCTCTCAGCTCTGACATTCTGAGTTCTAAGATCTAAGCTCTTCCTAAAATGTAGCCCTAGGACTGGACACAATGAGGTACTCACACTTCATCTGTCGTACCTGCTACCTATGATGACCTGCTAGGTCATCAGTCTCTAAGGGGCCTACTTCCAGGATTGGTGCTAGAAAAATGTGAGATTTGCCAGCAGGACTCCCACCTTTTCCTATTCCCCTTTCCCATGCCTTTTCCTACCTCCACAGAGACCAGTGCCCTCATTTGACCTTCCTGTCCCCTCAACCTCCCTCCCCCAATTAAATACAAAGTTTAGAAGGGAAAGCACTAGCCATTCCAGGGATTAGAAAAGCCTTCATGTAGAAGATGGTACTTACTGCCATCTTGAAGCAATCTGAAGCAGAGATAGGGAGGGAGTGCATTCCAGGCATGAGGGACTTTCAGTGCAAAGGCTTAAAGATAAATAAAAAGAGAGAAAGCCAATTTGGTTGTATGGCAAAGTGTGGGAGGGAGAATAATGTATAATGAAGCTGGGAAAATAGTCTGGGGGGCAGGTCAGGAAGGACTTTAAAAGCTAGCTAAAAGAGTTGATATTTTATCCCAGTGGCATAGGAACCCACAGGAGCTTATCGAGTTGGGGAGTGACGTGGTTAGACCTGAGCTTTAGGAAAATCACCTTGGCAGTTGTGTGGTAGATGGAGAGGGGAGAGGCTTGAGGGAGGGAGACCAGCTAGGAGACTTTTGTAGTGGCATAGGCAAGAGGTGATGAGCACCTGAACTGAGTTGTGACTGTGCAAGTATAAGAGAAGAGGTCAGGTATAAGAGATGTTGCAGAGGTTAGAAATGGCAAGAATTGGTGACTAATGGTCTATATGGAGTGAAGAGTCAAGGATAATACCAAGGTTTTGACCCAGGGAGACTGAAAAAATGGTGGTGTCTTCCACAGAAAGAAGGGATATTTGAAGGGCTGGAATCTTTCCAGAGGATATTTTGAGACCATTCCATAGACCCTCAGTAACCCCAATTTGGGTCTCAACCAAATGCTATGATCTCGTGCCCTTGAAATGACCCCACACTAGCAATAGAAAGATGGGCCCTATGATTTCCCTCACCCTGAAATAGTGACTCCTGCCTGGGCAACACAGAGTCTGAGTCCTAAAAGGGACCTCAAATGATCCAACACCTGGTTTATTGCAGGAATTCTTTCTACAACATGGGTTCTTAAGCTGGAATCTGTGAACTTTTTTTTTGTTAATTTTGATAACTATATTTTGATCATGCATTTGAAAACATTATTCTGAGAATGAATCCACAGGATTCATCAGATTACCAAAGATGAGGGTCCATGGCACATAAAACAATATTTAATAACCCCTACCCTGTAACTTACCTAGAAGAAAGAAGAAAAGGTCTTACATGTACAAAAATATTCATAGCCTTTCTTTTTGTGTAGGCAAGGAACTGGAAAGTTAAGGAAGTGCCCACCAACTGGGGAATGACTGAACAAGTTACGGCATATGAAGGTGATGGAATACTATTGTGCCATAAGAAATGATAAAAGGTACTGTGTAAATTGGCAAAGATGACAAAAGGAAGTCAATTTTGGAAGGACTGTGAGACAATGTGCACCCTGATGCACTGTTAGTGAATTTGAGAAGTTGTCCTCTTCTGGATTTCAATATAGAATTATCTCCTCCCCCCCAAAAAAAACTTGATGAAATTATTCATGCTCTATGACCCAGCAATACCACTTTTTGCTATTTACCCCAAGGAAGTAAGAAACATAAGCAAAAGTCTGATGTAGACAAGAATATTTAGCACTGCATCCTTTTGGGTGTATAACATTGATTAGGAAATGCTCCTCAAAACAATGACATATGAATTTATGAAATGAATGGCAGATTGTTATGTAGTGTGCAATGAAAATATGAAGAATTCTGAGAAATATGGGAAAGTTTCAATGAATTAATCCAAAGAGAAATAAGCAGAATGAAGAGAACCATATGTGCGTTGACTGTAAATGAGAAGATCATTAAGGAAAGTTGAACTCTGAATTATGGAAAAACCAATGAAGGTCTTGGTAAAAAAAAAAAATGTTGGAGAAGCTACTGGAAGTAGGCCCACTATTACACTAATGGTGGAATTACGATTAATAGAATCCTTAATAAAAGGATTGGAAACTTGGACTCAGTCAAAGGGCCACACTTGAGGACCTAGAGGGCCACATGTGGCCTTGAGGAAGCAAGTTCCTCACTCCTGACTCTAGCCATTCTGAAAAGAAATTTGAAACAGTGCCCCCCAAAGTTACTAAATTGTGCATACCCCTTAATTCAGATATACCACTATTAAGCCTTTTTTTTGGAGGGGGGGAGGCAAATAGACAAATATTTTATTTAAAACAAATAGGAATTATGATCTTTATTTAAGAAAAATAAAAACAAGGAATTTGCTACCTAAAAGAAAGAAAGAAAGAAATGATGAAAGGGATGGTTTCTGAGAAACCCAGGAAGACTTTCATGAACATTGATGCAAAGTGAAGAGAGCAGGACCAGGAGAATTTCTATGTCAGCATCAGTATTGTAAAAATGAACCATTCTGAAGCACGTAAGAATTCTGATCAGTGTAATGATCAACCATGAAAGCAGAGGATACATGATGAAGAATGCTACTCAACCCGCAACAGAGAAGTAACATGTAGAGTAACGTGTAGAATGAAGCGTGTTTTGGGATGTGGCCAATGTGGGAGTTTTGTTGTTGTTGTTGTTTTCTTTGACAATACTTGTTTGTTATAAGGATTTTGTGTTTCTTTTTTTTTTTTCCCCTTGGGAAGGAGGAGGGAATGAAAAAATGTTGATAATTGAAAAAAAAAGAGATTATAACATTTTTCAAAAAGAGGTCATCTAAGCTGTACTTAAAGACCTCCAGTGATGGAGAACACATTACCTTATAAGACAGCCCATTTCCCTTTTGGATAGCTTCATTGTTAGGTCATTCTTCCTTAAGACTGAGACAAATTATGATCTCTGATAACTTCCAACCATTGATGCTAATGCTCCCACACTGGAACCATGCGATGCAAACGGGAACCTAACTCTTCTTCATTATGAGCTGAAGGGCATTTTCAGCACCAAGGTGAAGGGTACAGAAAACATGTCACTGGACAATCAGTTAAAGGAACTGGGAGTTTAGCCTGAGTGAAGTCATTAGTGAAGTTGGGCTGTGTTCACCATCAAATACACCACCAAGTATTTGAAGGGCCATTGTGTAGAAAAGCATTCTGCTTCTCCCCAGAGGGCAGAACTAGAATCAGTTGGGGGGAAATTAGAGAAGCAGATTTAAGCTTGACTTCATAAAAAACTTCCTAACAATGAGAGAGAATTCTCCAAAAGCATAAATAGTCTATCTGCAGAGGCGGCAAATGCCCTCTATTTTAGGTCTTCCAGGTAAGGCTGGATGACCACCCACTGGGGATATTGGAGAGAGGTAAAGAAGGCAGGACCAGACCTCCTCTTGGGTCTCTTCCAACTTGGAGATTCTATGATTCTGAAAAGCCTGAAGATATTTGGAGACACCTATCATGTTCTCCACTGACTCTTCTTTTTTCTACACTGAACATATCCACTTCCTTTTACAAATACTTGTGTGATGTGGTTTCCAAACTCCTCACTATCCTGGATGCTCTCCTCTGGGATACGGATGTGGCTTTCACTTGTATCCTGATTTAACATCTGGATGCCATTCCAGCCAGGGCTTGGGGGAAGAAATAACTAAAAAGATTGATATCCATTGATAATGTCACATGCTTTTTTATTAGAGAAGACTCCATCTCTTAGAAGCCAGATGACGGTCAACGGTATAAAAATAATTTTGGACAATGCTCTCTTCTTATTACCCATTTAATGCTCGATCCTTCTAGGGCCATATTACAGTGCTTCATGGGAGGAACACAGGTTGTAACATTGCTCCAGTGAGCAAGAGAGCTGCTGGAGAACACTATGAGAAAAGTGCTCTGGACAGTCAGCCGGCACTGCACAAGAGAGTGCTGTAATCATCATGTCTAGGGCAAGCAGTATGAGGCCCAGGTAAGTGGGAATCAGATGTCAGGACACATAACAAACTGGAATTCCATCGAGAGAGCCAAAAGCAGGGGAATTGCCACTCACATGGAAGTAGCACAGAGTGCAGGTCAAGTCATATACACAGGAGTTGAGAACAGAATCTAGTGCGAAATGAGCCAAAGGGAGGGAGGAAGCTAGTTTTTCTGAATCTCTGATCTAGGGACAAAATGGCAGTCTTCCCTCATTGTGTGTCTGTCTTCTTCTCTACTATTGCAGTGGAAGCCCAATGCCTCCTTCCACTATTTACAGAGGCAGTGATACATGCCTGTCATCAGTGCTCACATAGGACAGATGTGCATCATGGGGTAGGAGAGGATCCTTGCCTGCTCTTTCTGGGTCAGCCTCCAGATCTCTGTGTATCTCAAGCACCAAAAAAAGTCTTAGGTTTTTTTTTCTAAAAGTGTGAGGGAGATCCATCTCAAGAGGGGCTGAATCAGGGACGTTCTGTTTACACTGATCAGGTGCCAAAAGAAATGGTACCTCTGCTCCCTAAGCCTCAGTTTCTGAGAGTTTCGCATTCTCTAGTGATTTCTAAAAATATTCCAAACCATATCCACTAGATTGCCTTTGAACCTGGAAAGAGAAAGAAGACAAATCTGCATGTATAGGGTTGTGTGGTGGTCTCCAGGTACACCTTTCAGTTCTAGTATTACTTCTAATCTAGACAACATATTTCCACGTTAACACGCATCCTGCTTCTCACGAAACAAGAAAGTCGAATTAGAGAGTCACTAAGATCCCTTCCAGGTCGAACAATACTTTGTGTTCTAGAATCCATTCCAGTATTCCACAGTCTTTGGAATCCTAGGTTCTCACCCTGGACATCCTCAGGCCTCTCTAATCATCCTGAGGTGAATAAAACCAATTCTAAAATCACCAGGTTGAACTAATTGCCTTGGCCATCCTGTCCCCAGGTTCTCTGTAGACTCAAGAAATCATCGATGGAGCCACGTCAGTGAATTCCCTTGATTTTGGACTCCCTGGATCCAAATCAATGGGTTCCCTTGATTTTAGATTCCCTGGATCCAAGTCAATGGATTCCCTTGATTATTTATTTTGAAATAAATCTACCACAGATAAGAAGACCTTTTCTAGATAAATCTCCATAGGCTTATCTCTTCTTCCCAGGACCAGAGAGGCCTTCTCTCCTGAACTTCCCCAAGGCAGAAGCCTGGGGTCAGCTAAATCTCTGCCAGCTCCTCTATTGGGCAAAGTTTAATTGTGTTTCTGTTCATTTGCAGTCACATGATTGGGGGGGGAGGCTCAAGAAAAATGGAGGCATTAGGAAGAGTTAGCCCAGAGCAGTGCTTTGGATATCCAAGTCCCTGGAAAAAAAAAGAACACTTCAGACTGGGTTCTGTTATGTAACTATTTCTCCTTCTTCTTATGCATTTATGATATTCCAATTTGCATCATACTTAACTGTGTACATGTCTTATCTCCTTCTAGACTGTAAGCTCCTTCAAACAGGGATTATGTCTTATCTTTGCATCCTCAACAGTGCCTAGCAAAGGGCTGCATAGAGGGTAGGGATTTTGAAAATATTGTTTCAATTCAGTAAATGCTTATTGAGCAGCTACTATGTATAGAACACTGCTCTGTGCACTTAGGAGAGATGCGAAGTTTAGAGAAGACGTGGCCCCTGTCCTCTTGGAGCTCATAGTCTAAAAGGGAGAAGAAAAAAAACAAACACAGATAGCTATAATATACAATGTTACATTGAATTCAATATCACAAGCATTTGCTAAGTGCCAGAGATACAAAAGACAAAATCAAGAACAGTTCCTGCCCTCAAGGAGCTTACATTCTGTTGGGAGGAAATGGGCATGGGTTAAGTAAATACAAAAAATATATAAACAGGGGCAGCTAGGTGGTGCAGTGGACACTTACTAGCTGCGTGATCCTGGGCAAGTCACTTAACCCCAATTGCCTAAAAAATAAAAATATAAAACTATAAAAACTAAATACACCATGATAAGTGCATTAGAGAGGGACAAAATATAGTACAGGTCTAAGGGGTGGGGAAGTAACTCATGACCTTTGGGGAGTAAAAGAGAAAACATTTGGCATTTGAGTTATTGGATGAATGGTGTAATTTATGAACTGTATGAAATATATGTCCTCTAGATTTTAACAGACAAATGGCAGAGGGATTCATCAGCAAGCAGGAAAAGATTAAAATGAGGGTTTTCTTTTGAACCTTATTAGTTTTTGGAATGCTTGTTTGAATTCTTCATTAAACCAAGTGTAAATTATTGGGTTAATGAGGGAATTTAAATAGCCTAACCATGTGAAAAAGTCAAAGAGGGCTGGGTGGAACCAGCAGGAATCTCGGCAGATGGGTAGGACTAGAGACACGACAAAGAAAGGCAGCCAGCAGATGATGAAGGCCCCCAGGATAATCCCCAGTGTCTTGGTAGCCTTCCTCTCCCTGGCTGCTGAGATCCTCTTCCTTTCCAGGAGGCTGCTAGCTAGCTTGATTTTCACAGGACCGATAAAAAGTGGTGAGTCCCCTGTGTGGGGCTGCCCTTCCTGGAGGCTAGAGTTGATAGAACATAAAGAGGTGCCAGTAGAACCAGTGATGAGATGAGCAGTGGTGAAGTGCTTGCCATACAGGGAAGGAGGCTTCAGGATCCGAGTTCGAGCAGCAGCATAGATCCGGCCATAGAGAATGATGAGTAGCACAGAAGGGATGTAAAAGGCACCACAGGTGGAGTAGATGGTGTAGGAGATCTGGGATGTGTTCACGAGGCAGTCAGCCAGCTCTTCATGAGCTTTGGCCTGCCTCCAGAAAAGTGGGGGGATGGAGATACACACAGAGATGACCCAGACCATGGCAATCATGGCTGCTGCCCGGCCAAAGGTTCGACGCTTACTATATTCCAGGGCATCGGTGATGGCCCAGTATCGGTCCAACGCAATAACACAGAGGTGGAGGATGGATGCAGTGCAGCATGTGATGTCTGAGGACAGCCAGATGTCACACAC